TTCTTCTCAAATACTTCTTATAAATTTGTTCTATCGTTTATTAGATAAGGGTAATTTTCAAGAAAAATAACTACTACTTTCTTGGTTTCTTAAAAAATTACTAATGTTGGACCACAATAAAAAGTTTAGAAAACCACTTAAAAGGGGCAGGACGGAATATAAAATACTACTTAAGATGCTATATTATCTGCACACATTATGAGCTAAACTAAATTAAATATGGCTTTCAATGATGAAAATAATTTTTGAGCAGTCTTCGATCTAATTCGATGAGACAAATGTTATTAGTATATAAACATAGTACTTAGAAAATTAATTGGTGCACTACTTAGATGCTATATTATCCGCACACATTATTAGCTAATCTAATTATTTATTCTTCAACAATTTCTCTTTTTTTTAATCCTTAGTTTAATCATCAATAACAGAAGATGCGGATCAATCTTTGGATTATGATTCATTGTTCTTGCCTACAATATATAATCTTTGGGCAGATATTTTTTTTTTATCGCATTAAAGTAAATACATATTTGAAACAAGCGATGACATAAGTCCTATTTCATGAAGTAATAATTGAACTTTTTTTAATCACAATATTCCCCCCTTTGCGCAATGATGTATGCGAATCAGCTGAGTAAAACTTGGTCATTATTGTTTCACCTACTCCCCTTCGTTTATAATTCTACGCCACATAAATTATGCTATTGTTATCTCTAACAGGAAACAAAACTAATTAAGTTATATATACTGCTGTTCTTGTACATAAAATAATGCAAATAGATAAATATATTAGTACTATTTTTTGTGCATTTTAAGTAAAGTGGAGTCTTTTGGTTAATGACATAAAGGATAATAATTTCGAATAAAATGTAAATTATTTAGTTTTTTGTTTGGTTGGATTTTTTTTCGTTATAAGCAGTTTCAGAATGCAAGATGTGTGTTTGGATTTATTTTAGATAAATTTTTATTTCCCATTTTAATCTTGATCTTTCTCAAAGGACATTAGAAGAAAAGCTTTGGAGAAGAGCACGTTTATCATTTAATTGTTTCATTTCGGGAGATTATTGTAACAAGCATATTGCATTACGTTATCAATTAGTGGATTTTTCCATGTTAATCATCACAAAGCTTAACAATATTAACTACACATAGAAGATAGAATTGGTTCAAAAAAAGTATAACAACACGTTATTTCTCTAAGGATTATTATAATAAAGAGTCAACATTTGCGTCCCTTCAAATGCTTGAAAGTGCCTTTGTTTTTCGTGTTTATTTATGTGCAAGTGAATTATACATATACTATATTACCAATTACTCCCTCGGTTCACTTTTACTTGATACATTTTGACTTTTTACGCTCATTAACTAATAATAAATAAAGTGCATAATTTATCATGATATTCATATTAATTGATGCATATTTTATTGGATTTGAGAAAATGATTTGAAATGAGTAATAAATACTGTGGGTAAAACATAATTTTTTTTTTGTCTTCTCTTAATATGCGTAAAGTGACAAGTAAAAATAAAAATCTATTTTTATTATACATGTTAAGTAAAAGTGAACGGAGGGAGTACCAGTCTTCTCTCTCACTCACTCACTCACTCACTCACTCACTCACACAGAGTAATAAATACACCTTGCGCCACACAGTGCCTCAGAAAGATATTGGGTATAAATATAAAAAAAATAACATCTCTTGTCGTTATAGTGATTTGCTTAATTCTCCAAATATTAAATTCGCTTACGAAAGGTCCCGCTTATGCCACTGCTCACCCACTCAAATTTGTGTTGGGACTACACTAAAGTTTCTCTATACAGTTTTCTTTTTACCCGATTCATTTGTGTATATTATTAATTTATTAAGACATGCTCATAATTTTATAGATTGCTCGAGAATTGGAGCCATTTTATATATATATGAAAGAAGGTGGTTTCTGACTTTTTCTTCAAATTATAGGAGAGGTGGAGAGGAAGGGCAAGGAGCATGTGAGATAAGCATAAGTTCGTTAATGATTGACATGCATGCATGTATATAAAGATATGTACAAAGACTCCAACAACCTCAATTATATATTTTTTGTGTGTTCCCAACATGTACTTTAAGAGACAACGAAGCCAACCTTTTGAAAAGCAGAAAAGGTTTGGGATTCTGAATCTACCTGGAATTTGAGGTGCGATTTGTCTCAAACTCGCACACCCAAAAATAACGGGAAAATTTCTTAAAACGGGAATAAAATTGATGTAAGGTCTGCGTACGCACTACTTTTCACAGATCTCATTTGTAGAATTTTATTGAATTATTATTATTGTTGTTGTAATATTTGATGACATGTACCAATAATTACGTTTCAATCGAAGTAAGTTAAGGTTGACTATTCAAATGTTGATTTATTCATGTCGCCCAAACTCGTTTTAATTTAATATTATAAGAGTTAGAGAGTGGGTAGGTAAATTTACAAGAAGGATGAAATCACTTTATTCTCTAGATACTTTATCTAACAAGCTCGTATAATTCTCCATATCTAAATATCATAAATTCAATTCATCATGAACCCAATATAAAGAAATGTATGAACTAAATATAAAGAAATTTCAAGCAAATGATGAACTTAAAAAAAAGGAAATTCAAACAAGTGAGAGACAAGTGGAGGAAATTGAAACACGAAGGCAAAAAGGAAATATGCAGTCTACCATTGGACAAATCTTATCTCTTCATTCAATTTCCTTGTGCTTATTGGAAAGTGAAGTAGATCTGGGGATTTCTCTATTTAATTTTTCGTCTCTTTTTGCCTCCTTTTTGTTAGTTTCCTCATCCTATCATATCTCATAACATTAATTATATAACAAGGAAAGGCCAAATGTCAATGATATTGCTGTCATGCACATGGCAAAATTTACCACTAGTATTCCAATTTTTCATCCTTGATAAAATTTGCAGAATTTCTTTTTTACCCTTTTACATGTTAGTATTTTGTTTTTCTTTCTTTATCTAATTTTGAAATCACTGAGCAAGTGGTACTTTATTTTTGCAGGAAATAGCAAAATTCTTTTCTGTAAGTAGATCTACTGGAAAAAAAACATACAAGTTGCTGCTTTATGATTGACGCGTGTATTTTTGAATCAGTCTTATGATTATTTATGGCATATATGACAGCATCATCTTTCTTGAAGTTCTCCTACTTTTGTTTGCTAATAAGTCATCCTACTAAGAAAAGGGCATTTTGGAATCTACCTGCCCAAGTAAGTTTATTCACTCAAGTAAAGCATTTTTTTATAATGGTGAATGGGCTATGAGTATATATAGAAGAAATGGTAAATCACATTGAAATGGGAATTAGTGAATTGTGCACAACTTATTCTACAACATTACATGTTTTATTTATGGAACATGGTTCCACAACTAGTACTAAGTATAGTTATGCAATCCTTTAAAACATCAAATGCAAACACAATAATATGAAGCCCGAAAACTTGGAATGATTACAGAGTGGTCCATTGAGTAAGCAGGGAAAGTAAGTTCAATTCTCACTGCTCTACTCTCTTTCCCAATCCACTATATATGTAATGGAAAAATTTAAAAAAAGAACACACACACACACACAACAACATCAGGAGGCCCCCTCTGCTTCAGAGTATGCCCCTGGCCTTGCCCTGCCGTTGGATAATAGTGGGATTTTGGTACAGTGTCAGCTGGCTGTCCCTACCCACTTCCCTCATCTGTTTGTTTGGTTTAAAGAACAAAGCCTTATGCCAGCCAGCAAATACAGGAACATGGTCCTGTTTCTTTGCCAAACAATTCACTCTCATCTAGATCTTTGTATTTCGAACGAGAGCCTCGACGTAACTAATAAAATTGATGTCGCGTGATCAGGAGGTCACAGGTACAAGCCGTGCTTACAGAATGTAGGGTGATGATGTGTACAATAGACCCGTGTGGTCCGGCCCTTCCCCGGATCCCGTACATAACAAGAGCTTAGTGCATCGGGTTGCTCTTTTCTATCTTTGCATTTCACTATTTTTACCTGCGTTATGCTAACTCTCCAAAATACTTACATTAGTATCAGATTTTGACTGGGCACGAAGTTTAAGAAAAGATAAAAGACTTTTGGACTCATGTAAAATGAGTCATATATATTTTGTGTGGTTATGAATCATTGCATAAAAGTAAATTGTTTCCAAATAGAAAAATGAGTCATTTTTTTTGGCACAGACTAAAAAGGAAATAGGTTCACATAAATTGAAACGAAAGTAATAATACTTTTATAAAATTTAACACGCACCTAATAATATTTTCAGAGAATCCGAACAACATAAATTTATACAGCTGCTAAAAGAATCTTAAATCTCATATGCATAAAGATACATGTTTTGCCAATTCCAATGCCACTGGAAAAATGTATAGTAATAATAATGTCATAATGTCATATACTCGAATCATCAGTTGGGTTCACGTAGAACTTAAAAGAAATATATCTACTATATTTTTATTTTCATAATCAAATGGTATGATACTATCTAAGAGTGAACCTGTAATTTTCACCAAACTATGCATCTAAGAGAGTGAACCTATAATTTTCACCTTGTTGTGTATGTATCATGGACCAAGCACATGAAAATAAATTTTGATCCTAAGATATTTTCTGTTTTTATATCATATTAAAGTGTATGACTATCTTATTGAACAATTTATACGGTTAGAAATAACACTGTTCAAATTACTTAATTATATTTTCATATGTATTTAACAATGTTTTTGTACTTGCAGAACAGTAAATAGGTCTGAATACGAATGATTGATTTTTCTTATCAGGCAAATACCTTAAACAAACGTACCGTTGTACTTGCATCTCTCTCATTTTCATCTTTGTTAAATTAATTTCTTGCCACTTGAAATAGTTCCCACGGGTTCCACACCTAAAAACCATAATCACACACCCTCTGTTCAAATACAGCCCTCCTACCTGCTCCTTCCACGTTCCTACATCACTGCATAGGTAATTTATAAGTATTTAGGTTATATGTTATAAGTAAGTGTTATTTATAATTACTATCTTTTAAGGGATCGTTTGGTTTGAAAGCAAGTTATGCTGGGATTAGTTATGGTAGTGTATTAATTATACTGAGATTAGTTTTGCTGAAATTAGTTATTTTAACTGTTTGTTAATTTTAAATTGTCAATTTTACTGTTTTATCCTGTAATTATTATTCCACATTTTACATGTATAAGTTATCCGAATACTATATCCGTAATCTTGGGATAACTTATTCATGATTAGTAATCAAACAAAGAGTAAAGCGGTATTAAAATTTTATCACACAATTATTTTTACCTATCGATCGTACCAAATTAATCCAAAGTAATTTAATTGTATAAATAGTTTTAAACCGTCAGAGCAGATATTTGAAGCTCCATTTATAACCCATTGCTCTCTCTTTCCCTATCTCTCTTCTCATGTGAGAGATGTCCATAAACCATTGTTCTTCACAACTTACAGAACCATTCTAGTGTACAACAAAACAACACTATATCATGGAATCAACAAGAAAATCCTCATCTCCAACTTACAAAAACCAAACTACACCTACTTCTCTCTGTCCTAATAGCAACCGATTAGAAGAAAATGAAATCCCAAAAGAACGTTTGTTTGAGAAACCATTAACACCAAGCGATGTAGGGAAGCTCAATAGATTAGTCATCCCAAAACAACACGCCGAAAAACACTTCCCTCTTAACGGGACANCAAGCGATGTAGGGAAGCTCAACAGATTAGTCATCCCAAAACAACACGCGGAAAAATACTTCCCTATTAATGGTACCCAAAATGACTCGGGCGAAAAGGGATTTTTACTGAATTTCGAGGACGAGTTAGGGAAATTATGGACTTTTAGATATTCATATTGGAATAGTAGTCAAAGTTATGTATTAACAAAAGGATGGAGCCGTTTCGTGAAGGAGAAAAAATTAGATGCTGGTGATTTCGTTTTGTTCGAGCGCCACCGGTTAGACGGCGACCGGACATTTATTGGGTGGAGGAGGAGGAACGCCGCCGCTGGAGCCACCGTTTTGGAGCAAGAAAGTGGTATTGCTCCGCCGGGAGGCGGTGGTGGTGGGTGGGGCCAGGTGTACTACGGTGGGTCTGGGCATCCTTATCCGTCGGCAGGTGTTCCATACCAACCTGACTGTCTTCATGCAGGTATTATTTTCTTTTTTCTTTTTTTTTTCTTCTTCATTTTCGATGTAGTACTGTACCTACATGCAGACAAATACTACACGTTTCTATCTTTTCCGTATTGCTGGTATAGTTATATTATTTTCCAGTATGTATATATTTAATTTCTCTGTGTAAAGAAATACTTTACAATACATAAATGAGAAAATTTAACAACCACCAAAAATAATACTAGTAACAATAATAATAATAATACTTTTTTAGAGTAGACGATTTTATCGAATTGTAAGGAGTAAAGTTAGTAAATCAAGAATTTTCATCAAAATTTAACTTGTCTTAGGGGTTGGAAACATTTCTTTTCTTTCTTTATTTTTGCAGCCTTGTTGGGAAGAGTTGTACATTTTTGACACATTGCATAAATAATCTATGCAAGTGGCAGAGGCATAATTTCCGCGAAGGGGGTTTGGAAAAAATAAATTGTAGTCAGTGGGAATTGAACTTATAACATTTCAAGGATTTTGAACCCCCTTGACCACTAAGCTACACTTTTGAGTTATGTCAAGAGGATTCAAAACTTAATATATAGAGGTAAACAACAGATTTTGCCTTATATATACAGTATAATTTTTCGACGAAGGGGGTTCGGAACCCCCTTCCGCCCTTCCGCCCCCTAAATCCGCCCCTGATCCATGCAAGTTTTTTATTACATGTAGTTTAGTTAATAGTTAATACTAACAACAAGCGGCATGCTACTTGCTTATGTTTTTTCTCCCATCTGATTCAACCAANATATATATACCAACCAACAACCAATTAGGTCTATTTGATCTTAACACACTTAACTTTTCTTCAACGAATAACTTGGGCACAGAATATTTGATCTTAACACACTAACCGTATATAGCTTTGATGATACGGTTTACATTTAGGCACAGAATTCATATAATGTCTATATACATATATCTGCAAATTCACATTTGAAAAATGGTTGTTTGTTTTTATTTATTATTTATTCATTTTTTTCGTGACAAATTAAATATATAGTAAGAAGAACAATGCACAACCAAACAGCAGCAAATGGGAACAACACACGGAGACAAGTAAGATTGTTTGGGGTGAACCTAGCAGAGTGCGAAGTAGACGAGTCTTTGTGGTCCGAACCATCGACCTCAGATGGTTCGTCGACACCGAGCCACCACCAACAGAGTCATGAGTATCAGGGTCAAGCTGGCCAGCTACATTACCAATATCAAGTCCATTGTTCCAATCCTTCTGCGCCTGCCTCTTCCCATGCTAAAAATAACCATCACAATAACATGGTACGCTACGCTCTTTATTTTATTAATTAAAACTTTAATTACTTTCTTATGCACTACTAAAAATTACAGGAATTAGCAACAAACGCTAAATAAAAAAATCCGTTGCTAATTCTATTTAGTGATAGGTTAGTGATAGATTATCAAAAAATTCTGTTAATAATTTAGCGACAAATCAACGACGAAATTCATAAGTAATTTCAGTTTTTTTTAATAGTGATGGGAATTATAGATATGACTAGTCCGATTTCCAACTTTGATTTTCTTGTTTCCTTTGGTGAGACAGATGTATACACAACTCTACAGTCGCCCTACATAATATTTAATTCTGAAAATACAATGCACCTAGCTAACATGTGTATTGTAGTTAAATCGGAAATAGGTCATAGTAAAGGACTAAAGGCCAAGAAACATATAAATATCTCACGATTTTTAAGTAGTCTATTTGAACAAGTAATTTCTTTTGTCGTAGAAATCAAATTTGCTACTATTTGAAATCATGTAAGCTGTTTTGGAACTTGTAGTGAACTATTTTCTCCTCCCTACTTTTAGTTCCACACCTCTAGAAATATTATTCCTGTATTTCATTTGATGTGACAATTTTTTCTTGGTTTATTTTTAAAAAAAATAACACTTGTTAATACTTTCACTCCCCTGTTTGGTTTAAGGTGAAATTCGAATAATACTCTCCTTCCCTCTATCTCAATTTCTTTCCTTTCGTTTTAGCAGAAATAACAGGGAAATTATCTTTTCTTCTTCCAAATTTTCTCTACTTTTTCTTTGTCTTCTTACCATCTACTTTATGTTTTCCACATGTCTGGAATCGTGTAAAAGGAGAACACCTTGGGAATAACATCAATAAAATGATTGCTAAGAGTGTCTTATCTTTAAAAATAGTGTGTTAACACAACACATCAACCCTCGCAGTTGCAGATGACCGACTTGGGTCTGCTCTGTGGACCCGACCCAAAAGATATTTAGAAAGATGAGTCAAACGAATTAGCTTTGGCCAGCTACTGGTCGACTTCTATAATCAAACTATATGCTTCCTCAACAATAAATAAAAATCACACCTAACATATGCTAGTTTACTGTGTACTATCTTTGTTGTTTTCTGTGACACTATTTCTTTTTAATTTATTTCTAAGAGAATAATATATTTTTATAACTAAAAATAGTTTAAATTTAAAATTCTTATTTTACTTTTAATGACATAATTTTTATAGTTATACAAATATTATGATATGATATGTTTAAGACTTATTTTAAAATTTTCCCTTTTCAAGCATATTCATATAAAAGAAAATGAAACTGAGGAAGTACTATTTTAGCTTTGGGAAGTGAGCAAACAACTTTTTGTAAGAGAAATAGTCAATTCTTAATTACCCTTAGAAATCCTGTATATAGTCGTAGTATTCTTTTCATGCCTAGCTAGGTATTAAAAGAAAGATTTGATGGGGCCATTTACGTTCATTTTGACTAAAGATCAATAACAGTAGGAGTAGGATTAAGAGGTCCAAGGATTGTCATATAGTTTCATAATCAATAGGAAACACACGTATTGCTTGAGATAAATATGTGTAGTATACCATTTAATGATGCATAAGTAAAGTCAAGTGCATGACGTTGTCAACCCTTTAACATGAAGCAACTATGCTACAATTTTTTACTCTTCGAAGTAGCAATTAAGTGGGATATGTATCCATTTCGATACTTGAAAAGTAAAAGTTTAGCTGTCTCTAAACAACAATAATAAACCCCGTCTAATCTGACGAACGGAGTTTAGAGAAGTTAATATGTATATAGCCTTACGACAATTTTAGCTATCTCTATCGCCAAATAACCAGTGGTCCATGGCAGGGATGGTCACATGCACACACTACAATCATTACTTCTATTTTCCTTTTTTATTCTTTTTGAAATATCAAACCTTTATGATGGAATTGCTAATAATTATGTTGTATGGTTGTAACAGGATGTGGATTACTCGAGAGATATGAACCATATGAGATATCACCAGGGATAAGATCTGAGATGTGACATAAGTATTGACTTTTATGGGCCACTTGGAATGTCAAAAACAAGCAAAGAAAACTTGAAAAGGGGAAATCCCAGATTTTCTGGCAACTTGCTTTCCTGAGAAAAAGGTGGTGTATATCAACTTCCACACCTCCCAATTCCAATGTCCAGGAACTTTGAAAGAGACATCAGGGTGTTTGAACGGTGGGGCATTTGGGCAGTGGAGCAAAGGTGGATAGATTAAGATTGTAGGTGCGTCACCCAAGTACAGATTGACGTAAGTAAAGACCCAATTGAAAGAATATGAGTTGTTTGTTTTCAAGAATCTAAAAACTGACAGGTAACATCCTTTTTTTTTTTACACATTTCGATGATAATTCAAGGGCAGAATTCTTTTTGTTCCACAGTACTGTGGTCAATGTACTGTATGTATTGATGATTCATATGAAAAACTGATGAAAAGACTCGTCAATATAACCTGTGAAACTGTGAGTTCAATTCTCAAGAAGTCAGTCAAAGTAAAAATGACAGAATGCAAGATCAACAAGACCTTTTGCATCAAACTTTACGCATCCTTCTCAAATTAGTTGGCTCGCACATGCATGGTTCAGATTTTCTGAGTACCTAACCAAAACTTTAAAGTAATGAATGAAGTAGTAAGGATCATTTAAAACCCTTTGAAAATTTTTAAACAACCGATAAGTACAAGTGTAATCTTCTAATATCCTTCCGCACGTGTAATCCAACTCCAGGATTTATGCATGGATTTGAATTTATTTTCTTCTTTTTAAAAAAAAAAAATAAAGAAAGCTCAACAGGAGCGCACCTGGAAATAAAGGAGAAAGATTAGGCTCAACAGACTAATGAAATGTTAGTCATATGAAGAGAGAAAGTGGGCGTGCAAACGAGCTCACTAAATTTGACTTGGATACTATGTGAAAGAGTCTTTAACATCCCACCCAAAACTTCAAGGCAAAAGGGTGGCTCAGGACCATTTATACATTTTTGGAAACTTGATATTACTAAGGAGTGACAAGTGCAGCATTCTAACAATTCTGTTAAGCAAAATCTTTGTTTGTTATTGAGATTATACTAGTTAATAACAAACTATTACTGAGTGAAAGTAATTACTTTTAATAAATAATGTTATACTATTATTAGTTTTGATAGTCAAACACACTTGTATTGATTTATGATTCAAACCAAGCAAAGCACTTTTTGAGATGCATTGGGCGATCCTCACTGGACAATGGTGGAAGAGGTTGATGGAAATAAGAGCATGCTTAACAAGGTCGGGGCTCAAAATTTGAAAGCGGTAAACTTTAATTCACAGACCTAAAAATGCATCAGCATATAAAAAATGAAAACAACTACTGAAGCATATCAATTACTCCTACTTAGGGGTATGATACAGGCTATATCCTAGTCATCCTGGTTACATGTTCCGAGTCCAACACAAGTTGACAACGGTTTATAGAGTTCAACAGTATGACTAACTACTAAAGATGCAAAGCAAGGTAGCATTATTACCTGTCAAAGTCAACCATTAATTAAGAAATGAAGACTGGAAGATTACCACCATTGACTTTTGTTAGGAATCTCACGAAATTCTAGTGCTCCTGCAAGTGGGAGGTCACCAGACGCATATTAGAATTTAGAACCAGCGACCAGTTACAAAATTGACTCCTCTGCTAATGATAAGTCAATCATCAAACCAAGTACAAGAATAAATCTAAGAGAAGCAAAGTGTTTCCTTCAGCTTTATGCTTTTATAGCAACTTCCTTGCATTTTACGCCTGTGAGGGAAGCAAATGGTGTATTTCCATTAAGACAAATTAATGGTAAAAGTCATGTTGATAACTCTGGGCAGGAACCTTTAATCTTGGAAAGGAATAAGGATAGCGATATTCACATAAAGATGCAGTATACGTTCCAAACAAAGTACTCTCAATTGTTATGAACAAAATAACGATTGAAAAAAGTAGAGCACTGGTTGGAGAACGAGAACTATTAGAAGAATTCTTGATGTCTGCCTATGAAGGACCAATGACAAAGATAGAATTATGATTTCTAGGACATTGTCAGAAATTTTTATTAGAATGTGCTAAAATAAAAACCAATGCACTTGATGGATTTCAACCAAGCAGCCACCCATGACCCAGGCAATAATTACTTAATAAGGATTCCCACAGACAGTGACAAATAGGCCAAGTTACAGAGACCTATCTTAATGGACAAAGTGATAGCCGCTCCCCAAGGAGGCATGAAGTTTTTAAAATGTACATGCTTCATGAAGGGAGTTTCTGCAGCTTGGAGAAATGCACATTGGTGGATTTATTCAATCTGATGTCTCCCCTTTCCCCTCTTCTGATAGACCCTTAATGTCAAGCCCAGATCCTGGTTGAGCTTACTAAGTGTTGGGCCTTTTCTTATTGGGCCATCTTTCATTTTTACACTTCAGGGAACCGGCCCTTATCCGGATATTTTCAATTTTAGCCACATTCATTTGTACATATAAATAGAGCTAGTTGACTCTATTTTTAATTAATGGATCAATTTCTATTTACCCTATCGTCTCTCAGTTCTTCTCTCTCACCGACTTAGGCGATTAGGGTTATCTACTTGATCCAATTCTCAAATTTCTCGTTGATTTCATAAGTTAACATGGTATCAGAGCATTGATCCGAGTTGTCCGCAACGCTCTTCATCACTTCATCGGTTTGGTTCCTTTGGTTTCGTCAATCACGGTCTTCCGTGACGATTTCGATGGTTCAGACAATGTTTGGGGCTTTCTACAAATTTTGCCTCTGCAAGATCAGGTTTCACTTTCCTTGTGCTCAATCAAGGAATTCCGGTAACATCCCTTTGATTCCCCACAGTGATTGATAGATTGTTCAAGTTTGTGCCCTAATTTTGAAAATTGTTCATATCTGTGTTTGGTCTTCTGTGTATTTGATATGAAACGTTGGGATTGAGACATTGTTGTATATGTGAAATAGTTTCAATCTCTATTTTCGACTTTGATTTGCACGCATGGCCCCAGATTCGACTTCTACCTCCTCACCTACGCATACTGTAATTCCCCCTAGTACCTCACTTGATCCTTCTCATCCGTTGTATGTGCATGCATCAGATAATCCGGGAGTTACACTGGTAACTGTCCCTTTCTCTAATACTGGGTATGTATCTTGGAGAAAGAATCTTCTTATTGCTCTATCTGTGAAGAACAAGGTTGGGATGGTTAATGGGAGAATCACTCAGCTACCTCCTGACTCTCCTTTGTATGATCACTGGCTAAGATGCAATGACATGGTGTTTGCATGGTTGAGTAACTCAGTGTCTAGGGATATTGCTGATAGTGTACTTCACTGTGACACTGCAAGGGATCTTTGGAAGGATATAAAGGAGAGATATGGTCAATCTAATGATAGTATATACTACCAAATTCAAAGAGAAATTGGTGGAGTTTCTCAGGGTTCTAGTGACATTGCTAGTTATTACACTAGGTTAAGAAAATTATGGGATGAGTTAAAAACTGCTTCATTTGGTCCAGCTTGTACCTGTAGAGCAGAACCACAGTGCAGTGAAGGACAAAAACTCATTCATTTTCTTACTGGGTTGAATGAAACATACTCCAATGTTAGAAGTAACATTCTTATGATGATTCCTGTGCCTTCTTTGAGTAAAGCCTATTCAATGTTGCTACATGATGAGAGTCAAAGGGAAATTCAAACTTCAGGATCTTCATTTCTTTCTGAATCAAATTCCTTTCATGCCAAATCTACTCATGTTCAAAATAATTCAACAAACAAGTATTACTCTCAGAAAATCAGTTTTGAGAATAAAAGGACAAACATTGTGTGCAAATACTGTAGAAAACCTGGTCATTCTGTTGACAAGTGTTATAGGCTGCATGGGTTCCCTCCTGACTTCAAATTTACCAAAGGGCAGAAGGTTGTAGCCTGTGTTCAGCTTGATGACCCTAGAACTGATTCTCTTTCAGCTCCTGAAGCCCTGCCTGGAAGTCCAGTCCATGGGTTCATTAAAGAGCAGTATCAACATCTCATGAGCCTATTCCAACAGTCTCAAGTATCTGTTGCAACTCAGGATCCCAGCATTGCCTCTTCTGCTATGGGAGCATTTGATTACAGTGCTTGTACAACTACTTGCAATCATGTTTCTTCTATCAATAAAGCTGATCTTTTCTGGCATCAAAGACTAGTGCATATGCCATTTAATAAAATGAGATCTATTTCAGTTGTTTCTGATAAATTGTCTTCAAAAAAATCTTTTATTTGTTCCCTTAGCTAGGCAACAAAGACTCCCATTCCTTGATAGCACTATCAAGTCCACTCACTCCTTTCAACTTATACATATTGATCTATGGGGTCCTTATCATACAAGGACATATAATGGTTTTAGGTATTTCTTGACTATTGTTGATGACTTTTCAAGAGTGACCTGGACATACTTACTTTCCTGTAAGAGTAATGCTTTTTCTATTATCAAAGCTTTTGTTTCCATGGTCTAGAATCATTTTAACTCTAAAGTTCAAACAATTAGGGGTTTGATAATGCATTTGAGCTAGGCTCCAGTGCTCAAATCTCTTCCTATTTTGCCGATTCTGGTATTTTTCACCAAACCACAATTCCCCACACTCCTTAACAAAATGGGGTTGTTGAGAGGAAACACAAACATCTCTTGGAAACATCAAGAGCACTTTTTATTTCAATCTAAACTACCTGTCAAATATTGAGGTGATTGTGTGCTTACTGCCACCTACCTGATCAATAGGTTTCCCTCTAGTGTTTTACACAACTTGTCACATTTTGAGAAACTTCATGGTCATCCTCCTACATATTCTCATCTAAGAACCTTTGGTTGTCTTTACTTTGCTACCTTGCCAAAGGTGGGTAGGGATAAATTCCAACCTAGAGCATCTCCATGTATTTTTCTAGGTTATCCTTTAGGAAAGAAAGGGTATAAATTGCTCAATCTTACGTCTCATTCCATCTTATTCTTCAGGGATGTCATTTTTCATGAGCATATCTTCCCTTATCATTCATCATCTCCTCCTACTGCTTTCCTATTTCTCCTGATCCCTTTACAGACATTTCACCTACTGCTACAACTTCTGCACCTTCACCTGTTCAGGTTCCTCAACCTGCTTCACCAATGGCTTCTTCTCCTCAAGCTACTCATTCCTCTTCTCTTTCTATTGTTCCTTCTTCTATACCCCTTAGGAGATCCACTAGAGAATCTAACACACCTGCCTATCTTTAAGACTATGTTTGCTACACAACCATTCCCACTTTTCCTGTGAATTCCAAGGTTACCTCTATTGAGATTCACATGCATGAACCTCAGTTTTACCATCAAGCAGCACCTCATCATGCCTGGCAGGATGCTATGATTAAAGAATTTCAAGCCTTGGAGGCAAATCATACTTGGGACATTGTCCCTTTGCCTCCCGGGAAGAAGGCCATACCATGCAAATGGGTCTATAAAATCAAACAAAGGTCCGATGGTTCAATTGAGAGATACAAAGCTAGATTGGTGATTAGAGGTGATTCTCAGAAAGAGGGCATAGATTATTTTGAAACTTTCGGTCCAGTTGTCAAGATCACAATTGTCAAGTGCCTTCTCACCTTAGCAGTAAAGCATGGTTGGGCAGTCCACCAGTTGGATGTCAACAATGCTTTTCTACATGGAGATCTCCATGAAGAGGTGTACATGAAAATTCCTTTGGGTTTGAGTGTTGCTCCTTCTTCCTCTGATCCTTCTTTAGCTTGCAAATTGAAGAAATCTCTCTATGGTCTAAAACAGGCTTCTAGACAATGGTTTGCAAAGCTCTCACAGTCTCTCCTTTCTAGAGGTTACTCCCCTAGCAAGAACGACTCTTCTTTGTTCACCAAAATCACTGCCTCCTCCATTGTCATTTTGGTAGTATATGTGGATGATATCCTTTTAGCTGGTGATAATAGTCAAGAAATTGCAAACTTGAAAGCCTTTTTAGATCAACAGTTCAGAATCAAAGATCTTAGTTCTGTTCATTATTTCCTTAGTCTTGAGGTCTCTCTGGTACAAGATGGTTATATAGCCCATCAACACAAGTACACAAAGGATTTCACTGTCAAGAGGCTAAGCCTGTTACTACTCCTCTTGATCCCCAGAACAAGCTTTATATTGATTCTGGTGGTTCCATTTCTGATCCTTCTATCTATAGAAGGTTGATTGGCAAACTGAATTTCTCACAGCACACCAGGCCTGACATCTCCTTCTTTGTTCAACATTTGAGCCAGTTTCTGGTGTTTCCTAAAGTTCCTCATATGTTGGTTGCACTACATGTTCTCAGATATCTTGCCAATGACCCTGCTCAGGGTGTCTTACTCAGCAACTCTTCTGATTTCACCCTCAAAGCTTACTCTGATTCTGACTGGGCTGCCTGCCCTATCTCAAGGAGATCTGTTACTGTATATTTTGTTCTTCTTGGTAATTCTCCTGTTTCTTGGAAGTACAAGAAGTAGCCTATTGTTTCCTTAAGCTCTGCTGAAGCAGAATATAGAGCTTTGAGACAGGTGGTTGCTGAGGTTTCCTGGCTGCTTAGGCTTCTTGCTGATATGGGTTTGTCTATTACTTCTCCTGTTTCTATTTTTTGTGACAGTCAAGCTGCTGTACACAGTGTTTAAAAAAGCGCTCGCTTCATCGCTTTAAGAGAGAAGAGAGGCGAAGCATGAAAGGCAGCGCTTCAGCTTGCTGAAGCGACCCAGGTCAGTAAAAGCGACCGCTTCTCTGTAAAAAGCGAGAAGCGGGGAAAGCGAAGCGAAGAGAAGAAGCGTTCGCTTCTCTGTATTAAAATACTCAACCCTATTTTATTAAAAATAAGTTTTTTTGATTAAACACTGATCTTCAACAACAGCGACTAGTATTCTTCAACTTCCAACAGCAACGACTTCTTCTTCATCTACTTCTGATTTCTGAAAGAATCTCAAATCATCAACTAGGGTTGTTCTTCTTCTTCTTCTTCAACTTCAAGTTCAAGACTTCAACAGGTATGTTCTGAACTTCTGATTTCCATTCTTCTTCTTCTTCTTCTTATTCTTTTTCTTTCTAAACGTCCAAAAAGCAGCGAAATGCTGGCGAATGTTTTCCAGAATTTTACTGCCCAATTTTTCCAGAATTTTACTGCCCAATTTTTCCAGTTATTATCAGATAATTCCTATGATTTTTTATATCCTTTATAGTTTATTCTTAGTTCTTATTGCCTTTCTTATGTGTTATGTAGTTGTTCTTTTAATGGATCCAAAAGAAGATAGGAAAGATCTGGCTTGGGCTTACTCTGAAAGAGTTTGCGAGACCAACAAGATGGCAATTAGATGTCTTTTTTG